AATGTGTGGTTGAAAATGAGAATTGATTTACTGTAAAAAATGAGAATCTGTACCAAACAAGCTCTTATATTGTTTTACAACGCGATTCTTCATTTTTATTTTTTTGTTAGTTTTTCCTTTTTTTACTGTTTGTAATCTTGTTGGGATGTTATGGTCGAATTGATTATTTAGGCTACAAAATTATGTATTGGTTTTGGGTCATGTCATGCAGTGTATGGGCTATTGAAATTTCAGTAGTTTACTGAACTGACTACCTTAGTGGCTTGTTTTCATACCATACCCTTTGTGAAAGAAATGGGCGTGTTTGTGAACTCAACATGAAACCTAACTTTTCCTTCCTTTTAGCTGATTTATTTGAGTATTTGTTGGATGTAGTATTCTTGACCGGCAGAATGAGTTGTGTCATAAATCTTGTGTCATAGTTGAGAGTCTGCAGAATATTCTGAGGTTAAACCTTCTGGAGATACCTCAAATATTTTGCTAGTAAATGGATGCTTAAAAAATGAAACTTCACTAAGTTTAGCCTCAGAATATTCTGCAGACTCTCAACTATGACACAAGATTTATGACACAACTCATTCTGCCGGTCAAGAATACTACATCCAACAAATACTCAAATAAATCAGCTAAAAGGAAGGAAAAGTTAGGTTTCATGTTGAGTTCACAAACACGCCCATTTCTTTCACAAAGGGTATGGTATGAAAACAAGCCACTAAGGTTGTCAGTTCAGTAAACTACTGAAATTTCAATAGCCTATACACTGCATGACATGAAACCAATATATAATTTTGTAGCCTAACTAATCAATTCGACCATAACATCCCAACAAGATTACAAACAGGAAAAAAAAGGAAAAACTAACAAAAAAATAAAAATGAAGAAACGCGTTGTAAAACAATATAAATCATTTTGAACAAAATTTCCAAGAAGTTCAGGTGATAGACAAAAAATCCTGACCTGTCACTTGGTACCTCAGATTTCAACATATAATATCTCGGTGTAACATGAATTTGTAGCAGTCGTATAGAGCATACTAAAAAAACAGACTTATTTGAAAACAAAGCAAAATTACAGAGTCAAAACAGGGTATCCATAAGTCCAAGCGCAGATAAAAAGCCAAAGTAATCCACCTCAACAGGCAAAGTTGGAAACAGCATCTCAATACGATTACGAGCACACCCTAGACTAATATTATCTAGAAACTAAAAGATGAAGGTAATTGCAACTAATACAAACTCACATGGATAAAAATCAAATTTCCAAAATTTGTCAAGATTTGAACAGACCAAAGATTAGAGGGGAAAAAAAATCTAACTAACCTGTTCCATGGCGTTTTGGGCAGCGATCATGAGCTTAGTGGCGAGGCCGAGTTTCCTGTGGGTCCTGAGGACGGCAAGGGAGGTGATGTGTCCATGGCATTCAGAGCTCTCCTCTTCCATTTTGGCCAAAACATACCCGACTATCTTCCCATTGTAGTCCTCAGCCACGTAAAGTAATTGCGGCCAGGAGAGGATGTGATAGAAATAGTATTTCATTTGGTAGTTTTCTGGCAGGCAGAACAGATTGCATTCCTGCATGGCCAGGAGGTCATCAACTGTAGCCTTCCGGATGCACACCATGGCTTCGTTTTGGGGGATTGATTAGCGTTTGGCTTTTGGTTTTGGAATTTGGGGAAGATTTAGGAGCGTGCTATGAGGCGGTTGAGGGGCGCGTGAGGTATATTAAGCCCTGTTTGTCACCTGCTCTTTTAATATTTTTTTTTTTTTTGCTACATGATCTGTTTGGTACACATTATTTATTTAATTTATATAAAATATTAAATATGCAAATCTAAGTTTTTTTTTTTTACTTTCTAGTCGCACGTTCTCCAAAAACTCACTATTCGAAGAATCAAGCTGTAGTGACAGGGAGGGTGTAACACCCTCCCTCCCTAATAGACCACACACATTGGGGGGAGGGAGGGTTTTTTTTCCATTTTTTATTTCGCGTAGGTCCCATGTCGGGCCCAAACCCTTGTGAGGGTCGGTCACCCAAGTGGGCAACCATTTTCTGGCACTTCAACTTCATTCCTAATCGAAAGAATACTTTTTTCAAAAAATGCCCACCAAACGGGGCTAAAGTCTGCATTCAATCTTAAGATTTTTTGAGACTTTATTTTAAGTTTAATAATTTTATTTTTCACAGATTTATATAGAATTTATTTGATTTTTATGAACTTTTATTTCAGAAAAATAAAATCTTGCAAATAATTTATTGCACGTCTTTATGAATCACTAATTGCGTTATTAAATGATCCATAATAACTAAATTATATTTCTCATGGAATAATCGGTACAAAACACATATTTCGTTTGCATGGTTTATGTAAATCGTCGCTATCCTTTTATTCTGGCTAAATATTAGATCAATCAAATGTTGTGCAAAACATCCTTACCTTTTAAATTTGATGCATTTTATCCTTAAATAAAGAAAATGTTGTGCAATTCATCCCTGCATTAAGAAATTTTTTTGACGAATTTATCATCCTTAACAAAAATGAAAGGAAGAAATTTTTTCATAGATTTACAAAAAAAAAAATTCAAGTAAACGACCTTGTATATACTCAATGAATTTTTTATTTTTTTTTTTGTATAGATTTTTTATAGAATTAATAACCATATATAAGGACTTTTACAAACCTTTATAAGGCACCGTTTGGTAACCATTCTTTTTTTTTTTTTCTTT